CCAATTTTCCAATCACTAAGCCAACGTCACGCAGCTATAGTTGTAATAACTTTTACACCATAATATTTACCATCTACCGTTTTTTATTTTATTTTAAATCAACGATGGAATTAGTAAAATTTAGTACTAAATCACACCATTTAGTACATCTGAAAATGACGCAACAAGTCGAAATTTCTGTGTGACATATTTTCTTTTACATAGTTAACAGGCGAGTAAGAAATATTTAACTAGAAGGCGCAGTCTTAAAATTTACTAGAATCATAACCTATTGGTCATAAGGACAGCCCTTTGGATTATGATAAATAGAATCACAAAATTGTTTGGGTGTGTATATATATCAAAGTATTATAAAATTATAGTAATATAAGCCAAGAAATATAGATAAAACTTTTCTTCTATCAAGTCGTATTCAAGTCTATCTTATTGATATCTTTTGTAGAATTAGAAATACCGTATATATAATGTACAATTTACTTGAGAGTTACAAGATATTAAATGAATGTAATAAACATATTCATGTATATCTAAAATGGTTCATGAATGAGTTGTTAGACATTCACAAATTTAATGCATTCATAACACTCCCCATTGAATATCCATAGATAATGTGCCTCGTTAAAACCTTACTAGAAAAACCCAGTGGGAAAAAGCCTAGTGAAGGAAAAAGAGTACACATATCTTGTAATACGCATTGAGTGTTGCCTCATTAAAAACCTTACAAGGAAAACCCAATTGGGACAAAACCTTGGTTAAGGAAAAAAGAGTACAACGCGTATTATACTCCCCCCGATGAAAGCTTTATTTGATATCTCGGAGACGACGCATTCCAATCTTATGTCTCAGCTTCTAAAATGTTGATGTTGGCAATACCTTAGTGAATAAATCTACTAGATTGTCACTTGAACAGATTTGTTGAACATCTATCTCATCATTTTGCTGAAGATCGTGTGTGAAAAAGAACTTTGGTGAAATGTGCTTTGTTCTGTCTCCTTTGATATATCCTCCTTTAAGTTGAGCTATGCAAGCAGCATTGTCTTCATACAATATCGTTGGAATCTTCGTTTTTAAAGAAAGACTACACAATTGTTGAATATGTTGAGTCATTGATCTCAACCATACACATTCTCGTCTAGCTTCATGAATAGCTATTATCTCTGCATGATTGGAAGATGTAGCAACTAAAATTTGTTTTGTTGAACGCCATGAAATAGCTATACCCCCACAAGTAAATAGATAGCCTATTTGAGATCGGACTTTATGTGGGTCAGACAAATAACCTGCATCTGCATAACCAATCAACTGTGAATCAGATTCATAAGAATAAAATAATCCCATATCAATAGTCCCTCGGAGGTATCTAAAAATATGCTTAACACCATTCCAGTGTCTTGTTGTTGGAAAGGAACTAAATCTTGCTAATAAACTTACTACAAAAGTTATATCTGGTCGAGTATTATTTGCAAGATATATTAGTTCCCCAATTGCACTAAGATATGGAGTTTCATCACCAAGAAGCTCTCCATCATTTTCATGAGATCAAAATGGATCTTTATTTATATCAAGTGATCTCACAACCATCGGGGTACTCAATGGATGTGCTTTATCCACATAAAAACGCTTTAGGATCTTTTCGGTATAAGTTGATTGATGGACAAAAATTCTATCTTTCATATGCTCAATTTGTAGACCAGGACAAAATTTTGTCTTTCCAAGATCTTTCATTTAAAACTCTTTCTTCAAATAGTCTATTGCTTTTGGAAGTTCCCCAGGAGTTCCAATAATATTTAGATCATCAACATACACAATGATTATAACAAATTCAGATCCAGACTTTCTTATAAATACACAAGCACAAATTGGATTATTCTTATACCCTTCTTTCAGCAAATACTCACTCAGGTGATTATACACGCCCTGATTGTTTATATCAATATAAGGATTTTTGAAGCTTTATTGAACAAGTTTCCCGAAAACTTTTATTAGTTTCAGGAACTTTGAGCCTTTCAGGGATTTTTATATAAATTTTGTTGTCTAATGTGCCATACAAATAGGTTGTGATAACATCCATTAGACGCATATCAAGTTTTTCATGGACTGCCAAATTTATAAGATATCTGAAAGTGATTGCATCCACCACAGGAGAATATGTCTCCATATAATCAATGCCATGTCTTTGCGAAAATCCTTGTACCATAAGTCGTGCTTTATATTTAACGACTTCATTTTTATCATTTCGTTTTCGCAAAAAAACCCATTTGTATCCCACTGGCTTTATTCCTTCAGGTGTTCGAACTATACATCCGAATACTTCATATTTTTCAAGTGATGCTAATTCTGCCTCGATAGCGTCTTTCTATTTTTGCCAATCATTTCTCTGTTTACATTCATCGACAAATCTTGGTTCAAGATTCTCATCTTGTTGCATTATTTCAACAGCAACATTATAAGCAAAAATATTGTCGACAATAATATTATTTCGGTTCCACCTTTTTGCCGTAGAGACATAACTTATTGAGATCTCTTCATTCTTATTATTTTCAGGTACATGGACCTCCTCTGATGTCTTATCATTTGTTATGTCACAAGGCTCTTTTTGAGCAATTACCTCCATATTATGATCTCCTAGATCATTTGTTCCTTTTTACTTTCGAGGATTTTTATCTTTGGAACCAATTGGTCTACCACATTTTAAGCGTGGCTTAGACTCATTTGCATTTATAGGTTGTCCAACCGGGACATCAATTCGAATAGGAGCATTAGCAGCTGGGATATGTGACTTAGTCACCCTTGGTAGGTTAGTGAATGCATAAAGTAGTTGATTTGTAATATTTTACAAATAAATTATCTTTTGAACCTCGTGTTCACATTGATTTGTTCGAGGATCTAAATGAGATAGTGATAATGCATTCCGATCTATCTCCTTTTGCAGCTGCTTATTTTCTCTTCCTAATATTGGTTATACTGATTCATCAAAATAATAATAAACAAATCTTGCCGTAAATAAATCTCCAGTTATAGGTTCCAAATATTTTATAATAGAAGGAGATTCATACTCAACATATATCCCCAATCTTCTTTGGGGTCCTATCTTTGTGCGTTGTGGTGGAGTAATTGGAACATATACTGCACATCCAAATATTCTAAGATGAAAAATATTTGGCTCCTGACCAAAAGCCAATTGTATTGGGAAAACTTTATAATAACTTGTGGGTCTGATCCGCACAAGAGCTGCTGCATGCAAAATAACATGGCCCCATGCCGAAATGGGAAGTTTTGTTCTCATAAGCATTGGTCTAGCAATTAATTGGAGGCGTTTGATCAATGATTCCGCTAGACCATTTTGAGTATGAACATGAGCAACTGAATGCTCAATTGTTATCCAGTTGATATGCAATAATCATTAAAGGCATGTGACGTAAATTCACCAGCATTATCAAGACGAAGTGTCTTAATTTCATAATCTGGAAACTGTATTCTTAATCTTATCAATTAAGCTAGTAACCTCACAAAGGCCAAATTGCGGGTTGATAACAAGCACACATGTGACCATCTTGTAGATGCATCTATCAAAACTATATAATATCTAAATGGTCCACATGGAGGGTGTATGTGCCCACATATATTATCCTGTATACGTTCCAAAAATGCAGAAGATTCAACTCAAACTTTAATTACAGATGGTTTAATAATCAATTTTCCTTGAGAATATACAGCACAAGAGAATTCTTTAGTTTGATGAATCTTCTGGTTCTTCAATGAATGACCATGTGAATTCTCAATTATTTTTCACATCATATTATAACCGGGATGGCCTAACCGGTCATGCCAAATAATAAAATCATTAGTAAACTCCTTGTTTACTATAGCATGTGATTCAACTACACTAATATTAGTGTAGTATAATTCGGAGGAAAATGCGGGAAACTTTTCAAGCATATACTTCTTTTCCGCTTTTATTGTAGTAATATAAAGATATTCAACTTTTTCTTCATTGGTGGTCTCAATATGATAGCCATTTTGGCGAATATCTTTGAAACTCAATAAGTTTCTTTGAGACCTACTAGAATATAATGCATCATTAACAACTAATATAGTTCCTCATGGTAGCAATACAGTCGCTCTTCCAGAGCCCTCAATTAATTTTGTACTACCAGATATTGTTATGATATTGGCTTCTTTCATAATTAAATAAGAGAAATATCTCTTATCTTTTAATATGGTGTGCATCGTAGAACTATCCAGAAGACATATTTCTTCTTTATTATTCATACGCCCAACTGAAGAATGGGAAGTTTTCATATTCTTCAAGAAGAAAAAAAAAATACATCATAAGTAATATTGAAAAAGTTAAGAATAAAAGAAACTACATTTATGAAATTAAATACTGACAACATAAAAAGTTTTATTCAAAATATGAACTTCATAAAAATAAATACATTTATTCTTATAATTTTTCCCAATAATAAGTCTTCAGTTATGATGCTCAAAGAAGTCTCCAGCTTCTAAATGAGTAATATCTGCAAGACCTTCAAAAATATCATCTTTATAGGCAAGGTTTGCTTCAACTTTATCATGATTATTCATAGGGCCCGCCTCAACATCATTTTGAAAAGTCAAGTGAGTCTCAACTTTATTTTGTTTCCCTTTTATAGATTCTTGATAAAGTTTGACAAAATATTCAGGTGTCTGACAAATTCGTGCCCAATAATTTTTCATACTACATCAGTAGCAAACATTACCTTTGCCTTTTGAAGGATTATTCTGAGAACCCTTATTGTTCTCTTGTTTATAACGACCACCACCATGGCGATTATTATTTCGCCCATTGCCACGCCCACGTATATTTATACGGCCACGATAATTATTTTATTTTTTTTTAGACTTTGGATCTATCGTTCCCAGATTCGCTTCTGGAAATGGAGCTGATCCAGTGGGGCGGACTTCATAATTTTTCATTAAAAGGGCATTATGTTGTTCAACCACCAAAAGGCATGAAATTAACTCAGAATATTTCTTAAAGCCCTTTTCACGGTATTGCTGCTGTAAAACCATATTGAGGCATGAAAAGTGGAAAGAGTCTTTTCCAGCATGTCCTCATCATTCATAGGTTCCCCACATAATTTTAGTTGGGATATTATTCTATATACAATAGAATTATATTCACTTATGGTCTTATAATCTTGTAGCCGTAAGTGCATCCACCCACGACGAGCTCTTGGCAATACTGTGGCCTTTAGGTGGTCATATCGTTCCTTCAAACTAGTCCATAATTGAAATGGATCTTTCAAGGTTAAATCTTCACTTTTTAACCCTTCATCGATATGATGGCGAAGGAAAATTACGGCTTTCGCCCTATCCTGACTTGATGCTTCATTTCCTTCTTTAATAGTGTCACCAAGACCTTTAGCGTCAAGGTGAAATTCAGCATCAAGTACCCATGGCAAATAGTTATTCCCAAAGATGTCAAGTGCCATAAATTCAAGCTTTGACAAATTCGACATAGTGAAAACTATCACAGAAATAAGTGAATTAGAATGACAAGAATTATTATCAATTCAGTGCAGTACATAATCGTGTACTAATATCGTGTATACAAGCTTGTAAAAATAAAAAGTAATTACATGCAATGCAATGTTACTATATCATGCCTGACTGTAAATTATCGCACAATCATTACCCTATGTATACATGAGAAGCCAAATACGTTTACTCAATAGACAATAATCAGAGAGTTATAAAATTAAAGTAAGTATATCATGTTCCGACACTTATTATATCTCTCAATAGTGTAGTTAGGCATAAATCTTAATGATATCACTATTTCTAATTTCCAGCAAAAGACACGTCAATATCTAATTGATAGTTTTCAAAGTTCATATTTCTAACCAAATAATAGCTCTAACATAGACAAGAAATATTCCTTACTCTATATGATTATCTACTATATTAAATGGAACTCGTTCAAAAGCATAATATCACAAGGTTCTTTTAATATCATGGCAAAGAATTGATAGCATACTGTTCTATTTCATAAAAGTAAACTTAGAACTAGACATACCGGCATGACAATGTAAAATTAAAGCTTACTCTTTAGGAAGAAGATAAAACCCGGACGAAGCAGATAACTTCAACTGGTTAGAGACTCGTGCTGATAACGTATTATAAAATTATAGTAATATAAGCCAAGAAATATAAATAAAACTTTTCTTCTATCAAGTTGTATTCAAGTCTATCTTATTAATATGTTTTGTAAAATTAGAAATACCATATATATAGTGTACAATTTACTTAAGAGTTACAAGATATTAAATGAATGTAATAAACATATTCATGTATATCTAAAATGGTTCATGAATGAGTTGTTGGACATTCACAAATTCAATGTATTCATAACACAAACAAAAGTCTAACTGTTGGAATCATTTTTTTTATTGTTATTTGATACATTTCGATCATTCACATTAGTGAGTTAGGTGAAAGTGCGGAGAGAGAGGGAGCTGGGGGGAGGAAGAGGGGAGAGGTAAATAGGAGTTGTGGATTGAGACTGTTCATCAGAATAGACCATAATTAATGCAACAATTTCTAAAATGACGGTTAATGGGGCCTTAGGATTTTGAGATTGCATCTAATGCAACACTTTCTCGTTATACATATGGCCTTTGATTTGTATGTCCAAAGAGATAAAAGTAAAGCGTCAGAGATGTAGATTTAACATCTATGGACTTGATTAGAATCTTTTTGTGCAGGGATCACAATTTCCACTTCTTCCTATACTTTGCACTTAATATTCTTCAAATTATCCATAACCTTAATTTAACTCCTTTTAAAAAAAAATTTCAAGCGAGAAGAAAAAGGCGCATCTAAATTTTTTAAAATGAGTATGATCGTAGTATCCAATATTTAACTTTTTTATATGTATGCATAGTTTGACCCAGTGGCGGAGCCACCTTATAAGAAGGGGTGTCAAATGACACACTTTTGTGGAAAAAATATACTGTGTAGGTATGTAAAAAAATAAATTATATGTATGTATTGACTCCCCTTAATTTTTTGATATGTTTACTTTTATATATTTTGATACCCCTTAACCAAAATTCTGACTCCGCCAATAATTTGACCCAAAATAATAAGTTCATTTAAACCTGCAAAAACTCTCGCCCTAGATCAATATCTGTTTGCCAGGTGTGGATAAGATGGGCCACTCTTTTTCTTTTAGGGATGCTTGAGAAATTTATCTCTATTTATTGTTTTTTTTGGCTAATAGAATATTAGGTTTGACATATATTAGCCAAATGCTTATTCTCAACGTAACATCGTCCTCTTAGTAAAAAGAACTAATCATAAGAGTTCTGGAAATAAAATGTTACGTTGTCTGGTGAATACAAATTGGAGCTAATGAGAATGTCGTGCCTTGATTGGAGAATATGGTCTGCTATTGTATTCCATTCTGGATTTGGATTGTATGGTTTATAGAATTGTATACGGTCGAAATAGGTTTCGGCCTTAGCACGTCCGATCGAGTTCAAACGATGATTTATCAAAGTGAGATCCCGAAGGTGGAGCAAACTATCCTCGAACCTGGGGAGGCCGATCCGTGTCAAGTTCGATATCATTACCAAGCTCGAATAAAAATCTACCATGCTGATAATCCAAAGACCAACCGACATTGACCTTGAATCAATTCGAGGGCTCGAGCCAGGATCGGGCTCGAGCCAGGATCGGGCTCGAACCAAGATCATGAGTTCGAGCCGAAATCAAGCTCAAACCAAAATCGAGGGTTTTAAGCAAGATCGAGCTCACAGACAAAAGCCGTTGCAATCCCACTAGAGAGAATCTTGGCAGAAATTATGAAAAAGCTGACTTATCATGGGTCTCCCACTGAATGTTTATTTTATTATGCTTAGAGCCAAATCCCTCAACTATAAAAGGGATTGGCTACTATTTCTGGAAGACAAGTTTTTCCAAGGCTTACATTGTAATAAAAAGGGCTACATTCTTCTACAGAAAAGAACCGTTCTTTCAGATTTCTTAGATTGATTATATTTATTGAATCCTGAGATTCATTGTTCTTGATAACCTTATCTATTATAGCATTCTCCCCAGTCTATATTTACAGTTTTTATTTATCCTTGCATTTTGTGTTAAGTTATGCCACATATCCTCGGAACTACGTATAAATTCAACTCTATCTATTTTTTGGGTAAACAGTTTGACGCCCACCGTGGGGCCGAGGATAACAGTGGTCATTTGATACAAATCTGAAATAACACGCCATTGTGCTTTGCACTTATTTCCGAAAACATCTTGAATTTCGGATCAGCTACGAATAACCACTAGTCAAATGGCTTCACCGATCGATTACGAAGCCGGCCTTCAAGATGAAACCAACAACTTGGCACCCGGGGCCGGAAGGCCAATTAACGATAGCTTGGCACCCGAGGCTCGAATCGAAGTACCCGAAATTCGAGCCGGAATACCATTGGATGCCAATTCACAAATAGCTTTGGAGGCGAATCAGTGTTCTGAACCGGAAAGAAGTATTCAAGGCGGTACTCGATCCGTAGCCCGAGACACCCAAAATGCGGGAGAAATCGGGGCCAGCTTACGTATGATCTTCGAGATACTACAAGCCCAACAAGTAGCGATAGCTCAGCTACAGAGCCAAACTCGCGCACAAAGCAGGACGGATTCCAATCCACTTCGAGAAGTCACCCCCAGAACAGAGCCCGCCATAGTGAAATCTAATGAGCAAGAATCGGGGACTACTCCCGAAATTACTAAATTGCTCGAGGAACTCACAAAATGAGTCGAAGCCAACGACAAGAGGGTGGAAACGTACAATGCCAGGGTCGATCAAATCTCGGGGGCTCCGCCAATGATAAAGGGGCTTGATTCGAAAAAATTCATAATCCCAAATATAACGGTACGACCAATCCTAACGAACATGTCACCCCTTACACATGTGCTATAAAAGGAAACGATTTGGAGGACGATGAGATCGAATCCGTGTTGTTGAAAAAATTCGGGGAGACCCTCTCGAAGGGAGTGATGATCTGGTACCATAACTTACCGCCGAATTCCATTGATTCTTTTGCCATGTTAGTAGATTCGTTCGTAAAAGCACATGCTGGTGCCATAAAGGTTGCAACAAGGAAATCAGACCTCTTCAAAGTAAAGCAAAGGCAGGATGAAATGCTGAGGGAATTCGTATCCCGATTTCAAATGGAACGCATGGAATTACCTCCGGTCGCGGATGATTGGGCCGTACAAGCTTTCCCCCAAGGGTTGAACGAGCTAAGTTCGACAGCATCACATCGGCTGAAACAAAATTTGATCGAGTATCCAGCGATAACTTGGGCAGACATACACAACCGATATCAATCAAAAATTAGGGTCGAGGATGATCAGTTGGGAGCTTCGTACGGAGCCGTTCATCAGAACAGAACAGTTACTAAAAACCAAAAGGAGATCGACAGAGAACGAAGGTCGAACAAAGACCGATATCGACCATACATCGCGGATCGGGTGAACAACGGTTCAGCACGTAATGCAGTTCGTAACAATCGAAGGATTGATCGAGGACAAAGTTCTCGGGGGCTTATGAGTAAGAGTGGCTTCGATAAATATGTCGATCCTATAGAAGCACCTCGATTATCGGAATATAACTTCAGCGTTAGTGCATCCGCTCTCGTGTCAGCCATCGGATGCATCAAAGACACTAAATGGCCTCGACCCATGCAGACCGATCCTGCCCGAAGAAATCCCAATCAAACGTGTGAATATCATGGTACCCATGGCCACAGAACGGAAGATTGTAAGCAACTAAGGGAGGAAATAACTCGCTTGTTTAACAAAGGGCACCTTTGGGAATTTCTAAGTGATAGGGCGAAGAACCATTTTAAAAGAAGGGATTTCAGCAAGCAAAACGAGCAAGAAGAACCGCAACACGTCATCCACATGATCATCGGAGGCATCGATACCCCTCAGGGACGAGTACTTAAACGCACTAAAACATCGACGGTGAGGGAAAAACGATCTCGGACTCAAGATTACGCACCCATGGGGACTTTGTCCTTTGACGATGAAGATGAAGAGGGGGTCATCCAACCTCATAACGACGCACTGGTAATATCCGTACTCATGAATAAAACTAAAATTAAGCGTGTGTTAATCGATCCAGGTAGCTCGGCCAACATCAACTGATTAAAGGTAGTAGAGCAGCTCGCCCTACAGGATCAGATCGTACCCGCAACTCTAGTCCTGAACGGGTTCAACATGGCATGTGAAACCACCAAGGGTGAGATAATCCTACCAATAAACATGGCCGGGACCATCCAGGAAACAAAGTTTCACGTGATCGAAGGAGATATGAGATATAACGCCCTTTTCGGAAGGCCATGGATCCACAACATGAGAGCTGTGCCTTCGACCCTACACCATGCCCTCAAATTCCCGACATCGGGAGGTGTCAAAACGGTGTACGGAGAACAGCCAGCCGCAA